TAATCTGAAGTGAGCGGTGAAGGAAGAGGAAGGTTTAAACGTGTGGCCATGGGGTGGTGGTACAAGGACTCCAGGCAGAGAAGCTGGGGCAGGAAGGGCCGTGGAGCTGCCCAGGTTCATCCAAAAGGAAGCTCAGGCACTTTCTGGGACGGAGCCTTGGGGGAAGCCACTACCTTCCCTCCAGTTTAGAGATTAGGAGAGAGCAGCTCAGAGATGGGATTCACACCTGGGGCTTCAACCCAGAACCCCAATCTCCAGCCCTCCACCCCAAAACCTGACGGGAGGGAGGGGGCAGAGGGGGTAGCACTGGGCCTGGGGATACAGGGCCTGCCTCAGGCCTGGCTTCTCCCCAGCTGTGAAATGGAGGTGACCATACTCCCTTTACAGAGGGACTGGAGAAGCCCCTTATGAGGTAAGGAAGGGAAGTGTTTTTGCTGCTGGGAAGTTCCTACAGATAGAAAATAGTTGAAATGTATTTGAACACACTCCCCATCATTTCCAAGGCACCAGTGTCACCGGCTTGTGGGGGGGTTGCAGAGGCCCCATTCTTCTCTCAGCAGGTGCCTGTTCTGCCGGCATGTGCCCTCCCTACACCTGGACCCACAGCAGGTTTGTCAGAACAATGGCTGCAGGTCTGGGTCTGGCAAAGTGGTGACTCACAGCTCTGCCCGTAACCATAATGGCAAGGGAGGGCTGTGGAAAAGTACTGGCTGCCCCTCAGCAGAGCAACAGTGGCCAGATGGCCTGCAGACCTGTGGCCAGGACGGTGGGGACACTACACTCCGGTGACTGCCTACTACGTGCTGAGCACTGGCTGAAACTTATCTCATGCCTCTCCATCCAATCTCCTCCACCAAGACCGTGGGAGCTGGAGCCAAGATTCACGATCCTCACTTACTAGATGGAGACTTGGACTCAGATGTGTAGGTGACTTGCCCAAGTGAGAGTTTACTGCACACAGAGCCACACGTGTCCCCACGTCGTGCACCTTTCACCCAGCATACGAGAACCTAGCAAACTGCTGAGGTCCCCTCCCGCCCCGGCACAAGCCTGGGACCAGGGTAAGTGCCCAGGAAATGCTGGTGAATTGAGGACAAGTCATAGGGGAAGGAAATTCATTGTTATAAAAGGCACGCACCAATGACACTGTATCTTTTTTACAGCAACTACCTGTGTTTTGAGCAGGAAGGTACATGACCTGACCCTGATTTTAGAGGTAAAGAAACTGGCTGAGAGGATGGGGTTTGTCCGGCAGCCAGACTCAGAGGACACCCTTTTCCGGGTTCAGAGTTGCATGGCTCAGCTGCCCCAACCCCAGAAGGCAGCCCCTGCAGAGGAGCCTGGTTGCAGTTAAGGCACCAACAGCTGGCCCATGAGTGTACTTTGGCTTCAGCACCTGGTAAACCATCAAAAAACAGGTCCCACCTCTCAGCCAGGACCCGTGGGGAGACCCTTGGGAGGAACAGGCTGGGGTAGGCCGGAAGCAAAATGCAGCCAACCCCACAGAGAGGGGGAACCTTGAAGTATCTAAGCTCTTCTCGTTTTTATTTAGATTCCATCTCCACCTCCCACAGCCTCAGTTTTCTTTAATCTGCAAAATGAGGGTGACTCGGGGCTCAAAACAAATGAAGAAACAGGAAAGGATTCTTCTATGACCAGAAGAGCTAAAACCACACATCTATTCCCCGTGATGGAGGTAGTGGCTGAAAGAAAGCTTCTGGTGCTGAAGTCTGACAGACCTTGGGAGTGTCACTTCCTTTTCCTGAGCCTCAGTTTTCTCAACTGTATGAAGGGAGTGACGAATCTTACTCCTCATGAGACTGCTATGGGGCTCGGGTGCGGGGAGGATGCAGCCCCGGGCCTGGCGCACAACAGGAGCCAAAGTTCATTTTGGTTCCAGTTCTCACCATAGCCCTGGCCCAGCCCCAGGTGCTGGCAAGTTCGGGTACTCAGGTACAGGCTCTTGTCGCCACTCTTAGGCCCCAAACTGCCAAGGAGGTGTCTAAGCTGGTTATCAAGGCATTCGTGGCTCTTCACCGTCAAACCATCTGCCCGTTCCTCCGGCATCGTCCATCCACGCTGCCCCCACCCCGACTCTCCGAGAGTCACACACCCTCTGCGCGTCTCACCGAGGCTCGTCTCGCCGGGCACAGGCTTCTCCCGCCCCGGAAAGCGCTTTCTCCCCTTCTCCAGGCCGCAAACTCCCCCAGACGCCTTCCCAGCCTCCCGCACGTGTCTTCCAAGAGGCTCCCTGCCTTCCCACCCCAGCGGTTCTCGGCTAAGAGCCGTCGGCCCGCAGGCCACACCCTTCCTGGTAGAAGGGTCCAGAGCGATCCACCCCCAGCGCGCCGCGGGCCCGCGCTGACTGGGACTGGGGGGTGCGCGCCTCGAGGACCTGCATCGCAGCTTCCCTGGCCCTTCGCAAAGGGAGCCCGGGACGCCCCGGGTCCGCTCTGCACCCTGGTTCTCCCGGCCCTCCCCGCGTCGCCCTGGCCCGCACCTCGTGCTCCAGCTTGTGCAGGAGGCGGCCCCAGTACCGCTCGGGGACCCCCGACGCGCGCAGCGCCGGGCCATGCAGCGCCGCGAACTCTGCCCGGGCCTGCGCGTCCTCCTCCGACTCCGGGCCCAGCTCCAGGCCCGGCTCCGGGCTGGGCGCCGACTCCGGCGTCAGGACCCGGCTGCTGCGCTCCGGCCCCGCGTCGGCCGCCATGGCGCCTCCACCAGCGCCAGCGCCAAGTCCAGCGCCGCCGCAGCCCGCGGGCCCGGCCCTCCCGACTCGGCCCGCCCGCCAGCGCAGTCGCCCGCCCCGCCCTCCTCTGAGCTCCCGGCGGCCCCCGCCCACCGCCGCCCGCACGCCCGCCCACACGCCCAGCAGGCCGGCTCGCCACAGGCGGCCGGGGCGCGAATCTGGGGAGCTGGACCCGGGGAGCCCCGAGGCCCGGCCGTCCAAGGGGCGCGCGCGCGAGTGCGCGTGCGTGAGCGCGCGGGTGAAGGGCGCTTTTGTGGCTTGGGGCTGCCGGCGTGTGCGCACGCGCGCCTGGTGGGGGCGGTGTTTTCTCTCAGCCCGCGGCTGTCCCGGGGGATGCCGGGAGTGAGGCTTGCAGCACCCACGCGGTTGGAACTGGGAGGCACCTCGGAGCCTGACTAGAAGGGCAAACTGAGGCCCAGAGACACGGATGTGGTGGAGCTGCTGCCCCGGCACCGGCCACACATTGACGACTTGCAGACTCCCGGAGGCTGGAGGGGATCTCTAATTCTTTCGAATGCTTCACCAGATTGAGGTGCAGCAAGGTAGTGGCCCTTCTCAGTTTCCTTATATTGCGATTCGGAACGTAAAGTCGAGGTATTGCAAGGTATTTCAAAGTGCAATTATAGAATTTCAAAAATCATTCTTTGAGCGTTCTGGTTTATCAAGTTTTATTGCTTCCATAGGGATGTGTTCATTGTTTTCACATTTGCAACTTTTCAATAATTATTTGCTAAAAAGCTCAAAGGCAGAAACTTTTTGGTGCTTTGGTTGTTGAATATTTTGATTAAAAGTTTTAAGCTGAATTTGAGCAAAATGCACCAGTTTATAGGACTTGTTCAGTGTGACTAAGACACTTAGATTGGTATGCAAAGGTTCAAACTTTTAAACTCCAGTTGGTGATGATGAAATAAAAGTCCTATTTTATGGCAAGACAAGAAAAACTTAAACATGACCATTTTCTTTGTGCTCCTGGTCCTCCTCTCTCTCCTCTAGTGTGTATTGTGCATCTGCATTAACCAGACCTCCTTAGGAGATGACATTCCTTCTTAATCTCATCAAGGGTCATTACTCTTTAGGAGATAACCTTCCTTCTTAATCCCATAAGAGGCCGCAATGATCCATGACCCCACTGCTTGCATCGTCCGTGTAGCTCTGGATTGTATAAACCATCAGTAACACGCCATTTAATGTATAGTCCTCTGTCTCAAAAACTTGTATCATTGTGCTTTAACCTGTAATGGATGGACCAATCTTCAGAGCTTTCTGAAAGATTGTTTCCTGGGTTATAATTTTCAGTTGGGCTCAGATAAAATTTTCTATTTCTTTCTTAGACTGATGAATTTTTTTCTGTTGACATGGTGAGGAAACATGGTACAGAGAAACACCTGTTATTGCCGTGCTGAAGTACTTTTTTCTATCTTATATCAGCTTTGTCAAAACTTTCGTAGTTCAATTACTCTAATGAAAAAATATCTGTAACATTTTGACGACTATGATTTCTAATTACATTGGTATAATTTTACAGCTTGTTTGGGTGAAGTTGTTAACCACATCCAATTCCAGGTGTATTTCTGCTTCATAAAGTTATTAATTTGGAAAGAGTGTTAGCCTCCCCTACGCTGGGCCCATTGAACTTTATGTGAGTGTTATCATTGAAAAAAATGCCTTCAGTGTTCAACTTTTAAACTGAATTTAGCTGAGTGGCATTCACAGTAATGTTAGTTTTGCACTTTGGACTAAAGCTTAGTTTTGATTCCATGAGTTGGATGAAAGGAATGGAAGCATCCAGTGACTTTGATACAATATGGTGCCCCCAGTGGAATAATTCCCCTGCCAGTGGAGCCAACACATTAACAGTGAAGTGAGTACAAGAAAACTTGGAATTATAAAAATGAGTGAAACTAATATAGAAAAAGTATTTGATCTAAGTGAAGAGTGATGATGTACAGGATGAAGTGTCAACCCACTTCTGTGGCTTCATTCATTTTGAGGCACAGTCTTCTTAAAATAAGTACCAACTTTTGAAGTCAGTGTGATACTTCTGAATGAGAGTTGCATCATCTGGTTTGGTTTCTGGTTAATGATCTCTCTTTGGCCCCACAGTGAAAGGTAAATGTTGACATTTTCTGAAAGTTTCCATTTCATAGTCAACTCCGAGGAATGGAAATATTGAAGTTAATTTTAAATTAAATGTAGACTTAAAAAATTGTATTGCTCCTGAAAAAGTTTATTGCACAATAAGAAAAAAAAATACTTCTAAACAAAATATAAATAAAAAGCTGTGAATTTATACCGTAAGTACAAGAGGGGACAAAACCCTCTGAACAGCCAAAATGTTCAGAATTCTCTATACGATCTGAAATGGGACCACTCAGCCTCTGTCTCCCTCACATGTCTTGTGCACAGCTACTCTGTAATTTCCCCAAGCCTTCGTGCATCTTGTAAGGCACAGAACAGGCACGACTCAGGTGGTAGGTTAGGCAGGGGCAGCAGGACCTCACTGTGAATATCTCATATATAATATTATATGTAATTAGGTAAGAACTACTATCTGCTTTACAGACCTGATCACTAATAACAGCTATATTATATTATTTATCATGCTTTATAGTCTATGCCTATATAGATATATATTTTGTTTTGAGGAACTGTATGTTGCACTAGCTGAAAACCTGTCATCTTGGCACCTGCACCTTTCTCCCTGTCTGTATCAGTCTGTAGTTTATCCACTCCATGGGACAGGAAATCCAACTCAAACTGGCTTCAGGGAAAAAGGTATTTATTGGCTTACGCTGTGCTATGGACTGAATGTTTGTGTTCTCTCCAAACAACATCTTCATATTTTGAAATCCTAATCCCCAGTGTAACTGAATTTGGAAATAGGGCCGGCGAAGAAGTGATAAAAAGTTAAATGAGGTCATAAGGGTGGGGTCCTAATCCAACAGGGCCGATGGCCTTACAAGAAAAGTAGTAGATGCCAGAGCATTCTCCCTCTTTACCAAGTGAGAACAGAGCAAGAAGGTGGCTACATGCAAAAAGAGAACTCTCACTGGCACCTGGATCTTGGACTTCCCAGCCTTCAGAAAATACATTTTTGTTGTTTAAGCTGCCCAGTTTATGGTATTTTATGGCAGCCAGAACTGTCACGTAACACATAACAAAGGAATTCATGTGGACTTAAGGTCCAGCTTGATCAAGGGGCACAAATAACTTCATAGGACCCACTTTTTCTGTACTTACCTTTCAGCTCTGCTCTTCTGTGCATTAGCTTCACTTTCTGATATGATTAACTGTCCCCTTGTAGTGATAAAATAGCTAGCTATAGTAACTCCAGCCTACATCCTCCCAGGGATCCAGTCTCACTGGGGAAGGGAGGCTGAGTCTTTATTGATTCTCTCCCACACTGGTCAGGTTGGGTGAATGTCCCTGACCAACCCCTCTGTTTTGCATTATCCCCAAATGCAACTGAATCATCCAGTGCCCAGGGATAAAAACCCAGCCCTTCATGTGACCTCCAAAACCCTGTGTGATCCAGTTGTGCCGACCTCTCCAGCCTCCTTTTGGCACGCTCTTCCCCTCATTTTTGAGCCCCACCTTGCTGCCCACCTTCAGCTGTTAGAGTGGATCAGCTCACCTCTGCCTCGGGGTTTCACGTGCTCTTCCTTCTGCCTGAGTGCCCTTGCCTTCCTCCCACTCATTAATTCCAGCTCACTTGTCAGGTCTCAGCTGAAATGTCACCTCCACAAGAAGCCTCTGAATGTGGTTTAAACAACATAAAATCACATCTCTGTTTCCCTCAGCCCCCAGGGAATCAGGAGATGGGGCTGAAAGTTCCAGCCCCCTAATGACACTTCTGTCTTTCTAGTGATCAGCCCTCATCCTGAAGTTATCTAGGGGCTGCAGGCCACCAGACATCTCATTAGCATACAAAAGACGCATCACTCTGGAGACTCCAAAATTTCTAGGGGCTGTGTGCCAGGAACTCAAAGACCAAATTCACATTTCTTATTGTATCACAGAGAAATAATTCACCCACCATGACAGTCCACCCTTTTAAAGTACACAGTTCAGTGGGGTTTAGTATATTTGTAAGGTTGCATGGTGTGCAAACATCATTCTCTGATTCTGGAACATTTCCGTCACATCAAAAGGGAACCCTATACTCATTAACAGTCTCTCACCGTCCCCCATCCCACTGCCTTCCAGCCCTGGGCAGCCAACCACTTAATCTACCTTCTGTCCCTGTGGGTTTGACTATTCCAGATGTTCATAGACATGGAACATAAAGTATGTGGCTTTTGTGACTGGCTTCTTTCACTTAGCATAATATTTCTAAGAGTTTCATATTTTAGTATGTATCAGTACTTCATTTATTTATACGGCTGAGTAATAATTCATTGCATGAGTATACCACATTTTGTTTGTCCACTGATAAGTTGGTGGACATTTGGGATGTTTCTATTTTTTGGCTATTATGAATAATGCTGCTATGAACACGTATAAATTTTTGTGTGAATATATATTTTCAGTTTTCTTGGATATATATGTACATGTGAACTTGCTAGGTTTCACTTTTTGAGTAATTGCAGGCCTGTTTTTGTTACATTTTGCACTTTTGTTAAATTTGTTTCTAAGAGTTTTATTCTTTTAGCTACTATTGTAAATTTTTAATTTCATTTTCGGATTATTCATTGTTGGTGTATAGAAATGTAATTGATTTTTGTATATTGATCTTATGCCTTGATACCTTGCTGATTTTATTTATTAGTTCTAATAACTTCTTTTGTGGATTCCTTAGGGTTTTCTAGATACAAGATCAGGTCGTCTGCAAACAGAGTTTTACTTCCTTTCCGACCTAGAAGCCTTTGATTTCTTTTTCTTGCCGAATTGTCGAGGCTAAAACCTCCATTGCAGTGGTGGGAGCAGACATCCTGGTCTTGCTCTGCACATCATGTTTTTAAGATGTATCTCTGTTGTTGCATGAGATAATAATTAATTTTCATTGCTGTATAATATTTAATCATGTGACTCTATTGCTGTCTTCCACTGATTGATATTTGGGTTACCTGCAGCTCTTTGCTCTTATAAATGAGACAGGAGTGAAGTGGGCAGGGCCCAACCATTCAAAGAATGGTAGCCGTTAAGGACACCAAAAACTGACTAGAATCTACTGAGCCCAAGATGGTGGAAGAGTCAACTTCCAGTAGACCTTGAGCTTTATTACTATATGCTCGTTGTAACACATCAGCATGCCAAACACATGTACAGGCTCCAAGACAGTTCCCAGGCTGACCCAAAAGGCCAAAAGTAGGTGAGGCCCAATTCCTGGCAATCCCGCCCCTTCCCCATCTTAGTTGGAATAACCCTTCCACTCATTTGCATATGAAATTACCTGGCTTATAAAAACTGACCACCTCCACACCTCCTGACCGCTCTCCCTTCTGAGTGAGACAGACTGCACTCTGTCTGCCAAGTCTGTATCTTTCTAAATAAACTTGCTTTCACTCTACTATGGCTTGATCTTGAATTCTTTCCTGGGAGAAGCCAAGGACCCTCACTTGGCAGGGCACGTCCCAGGGATTCGCCAGAGACCTGGGACACAACCAGCCTCTTGTGCCCCATTTTCCTGCAACATAAACATGAGGATGTGAATATTCTTGTGTGCTTCCTGGTTCCATTTATAACTAGAAAGGTTGATCTGTATCCTGACTCTCACCACATCAATTTTTACCAACTTAGTGTCACAATGGTGTGTCTTTGTTGCCTTCATTTGTATTTCTGTTTTTTGTTTTTTTTCTTTTGGAGGAGGGTGAGGAGGTAATTAAATTCATTATTTATTATTAGTTTTTTAAATGGAGGCACTGGGGATTGAACCCAGGACCTCGTGTGTGCCAAGCACGGGCTCTACCACTGAGCTATAGCCTCCCCTTCCTTAGACTTTTAAATCACTTTGTTAACCCAAGAAAAAATCTGGTGTTGTCACTCATTTGGGATATTAATGTCGTTTATAAAACTCTTTTTTCTCTCCCGTGGAGTGCATGGTGCCAGAAGGTTCTCCACGTTACTGAGGAAAACAGAGGTTACTTGACTTCTTGTGATTCTAGATTTCTAGTGGTTCTAGATTTCTTTGAGAATCTGATGAAAGCCGCAGGCCACATTCCCAGAGAAGCACATGCGTGTGCTCGCGTGCCCCCCCACCCGACGCACGCAGGCAGAGCATTCACTGTAACTAGTTTTGAGGGGTCCCAGATCCCCAGAAGCTCAGTGTAGAAGAACATCCCTCGCTTCGTAATGCCAGTCATGAGGAGAAATGGGATTTGAAACACAGAAGTTTCACTTCCTGGCAGCTCATTTAGGAACGTGTTCCCTAAAGCTGGGTGCCCTCCCCACTCAGACCTCAGACTCACTGCTTTGCCTTCCAGAAGCTTACTGTAGCTCCTTTCCTTTCAGTCCTCAGAACAGCCAGGGAACTTCTAAAAATATTTTCTGATTCCAGGTACCCCCCCGCATAATTGATGAAAGAGAGGAAGGGGCAATATTTAAGTTCATTTCCTGTTTATTATTAAAGTGATTTTCACAAATGTTTACTTACATGCATATGTATGAACATGATGGAGAAAATAAAACTTTGAATATTTGAAGCAACTAAAAGAAAAACTTGGTTACACTGATATTTGTCACTCTTGTAGGCAGAGTGAATGCCAAAGCGCCTGGACGGTACGGTGCCTTCATAGAAGCCCAAAAAGAAGGCCGCGAGCACTGGTCCTCTCGCCCCGCACCTCCCCAGTGGTGTTCAGATGTCCCTGTTTCCACAGCAGCGTGGGCTGGGGCTGCTCAGACTATTTAAGGTTTTGATCTCAGGGGAGTAAGAGTTTCCCTGCAGATCTATGTGGCTTCTTGGAATGAAAAGAAAAATACTCGGCACCAGCCTGGTTTCTCTTTTTTCCCCTACTTCTCCGCTGAGGGCCACCATGTCCTCTAATGTGTGTGCTGGGGCCTGTAGGAGGGGCAGGTGGGGAGGGGCACTCGGCACCTTCTAGGGTTGTGCACACTCGGCTGGGAGCATCCAGAACTACTCAGCGTGAGCGCCTGGCAGGCTCAGTTTGAATAGAAGTGACCTGCCCACCCCGGGGAGAAGGCAGATGCCTGCCTTTTTCTGAATGAGCTTTTAGCACTTGTTCCAGAGGGAGGGAGGTCACTACGTCCACACCCCCTCCACCCCCTTGCCCTCTCCTCTCTCTGTCCTTCACGTCCCCAACCCTGGGCACTCCACAACCAGGCTGACTTGCTGACTTTCCCAATCTGTAGAAGTCAGTGATCAATATTTCACAGAGAGACATGTCTGTCTTTGGGATTACGTCTAATTCTCAATCCCATAAATTACTAACTATCGGCCGTTGGCGTGTCACTTGGCCTCCCAGTCTGAAGAGCAAGTTCAGCCCCACCCACATGTGCAAATGTTCCAGGGCTGAGCCCAGAGCTTGGTGAGAAGCGGGGGAAGGGGGCGATGCTGGCTCTTCATCTTCCTATTGAGACTTGGGGGTTCAATTTCAGAGTCCATCCAGAGGCTGGGGAGGCCGCAGGGAGACACAGGGTCCCGTTCTTCAGGGGCCACCTGTGCAGGGTGCCGGGAGGGAGCGTGTGGCCACGGCCACGTGGTCCGGGCCGGGGATGCTCAGCTCTCCTGCGCCCTCTCCCAGGAGCAAGGCAGGCTGGGCAGGGCGGACTCCAGCTCGGTGCCAGGCACACAGGCAGTGCTCAGGAATTACTCCTGCTGGGGCGGCGGCAGCCGCGGGAGAGGAGGAACTGTTTGCTCTGTCTGTGGGATGGGCAGTGTCTCTCACCTGTCAAGTCCTTCCGCCTTTGGCCTGAGTGAAGTCAGCTTGGTGCTGTCGCCCTGGTCAGAAGGGCTCAGCTGTCACCACGTGTATCTCTGGTGAAGAACGGGGGTCTTGACAGAAGATTAAGTTTACCAGGTTGACTAAACTTCCAAGCACGGAGTAAAAGAGGCAAAACCAGCCATGGTCCCTGGGGGACGAGAAAGGAACCTCCCTGCTGGAGCACCGGCTGTGCCAGGCCGGGGCAGTGTGGGGCGAGGGGCGGACTCCGGCGTCCTGGGCGTGTTGGCCGGGCTCCTGGGGTCGGCAGTCGTGGCCTGTGTGCCTCTCCCTCTGCCAGTGGAGGAGGGCGGCCGCACCGTGAGGCTGGGCTGGCTGCAGCTTCTCTTTCGGGGTGTCTCTCTTGAAGTGTAGATTGGTGGCCCCAGCTCTGTTCTGCCCGTCCTGCAGGTGCCCTCCTTCCCCACCCAGGGTCCTGGGAGGCACGAGAAGGTGGGGTGGCCTACTCCTGAGGGGAACACTGAGCTCTGCCACCCAGGCCTCCAGCACCTTTGTCTCTGTGACCAGTGGGCTTCCCCGGGGACCCCGCCAGCCTCTGGGCTGTGGTCTCTCTGACTTTCCAGGAGCCTAGCGCACAGGTGGTGCTCAGCAAACGTTCGCTTAATGACTCAGCTTAGTTCAGTGTCTTTATTTTTCAGCTTGGGGGGTGGAGGCGCTGGAAGAATGATTCAACCCCCACAGTGCCACTTCGGCACCTGCTACAGCTCCAGCAGGCCCGGGCCTCTTGTGGAAAATGGGTGACCGTGGCTGTTTCCGGGAGAACAAGGGTTCAGGTAGTAACACGGGTTTCTAAGAGGTGCGGGAAAGAGGGTCTCGCTTCAGGCTTTCAAAGTCGGCCTCTGAGGGGAATCACGATCTGGAAGCTTTCTGGCCCAGGTTTCAGTTCTACTTTATCTGCGTGTCCCCAGCCTACGGGTGGCCAGAGGGAAAGCTACCACCTTGGGCCCCACAGCCTCCTTGAGCCTGTCACCAGAAGTGAGGAGGAGCTGGGAGAGACCGAGGAAGGAGGCCACCACCGTTGGCAGGTGCGACCTGCTGTCTGAGAGGGCCTGGGGGAGGAGGAAGGCCAGCGCCGCGGGGCTGCTGCCAGGTAGGAGAGCAACTGGGAAAACCAAGCCCAATTCAGGGAAGCAGACGAGGCGACCATGACACTCGCTCACGGAGGGCTCGGCCACTAAATCTGAGCAGTCTCCTTCCCGTTCCTCGGTGCGTTTCTGCGGAAGCAGGGAGTGCCAGGAGGTGCCAGGCCCGCAGGGCAGAGGGCTTCCTCCAGGCCCGCGTCCCCTGGCGACGCAACGCTGGGTCCCTCGGTCTCCACTGCCGCCCTCACAGGGCTTCTCCGGTCGCCCCCACGGGAGGCTCCACTGGGGCAGGACCGAGCTCATCAGGACCGCCCGGCCTTGGCACCTGCTTCAGTTGTGGCCAGCCGGGCAAGCTTTGGCTTCCAGAAGTTTGTTCCTTAGCTCCTTCCCTTGGAGTCTGTCGACTGGCCAGCCACTGAGGGTCTGTGCCAGTGCAGGGCAGGCCCTGGCTGGCATGGGTCTGTGGCTGGTTGAGGCCAATGTCCCAACCAGGGGTGGGATATGCTTCTCTGGCTCAGCCCTGGGCAGCACGGGACTTACGGATCCCTGTCCTGGGCCAGCCCTTGTCCGCTTTCCTTTCTCTCCACCGCCACCTGGAGCCAGGTGGAACGGCCACCTTGCGTCAGCCAATCCACCACCTGCACCCACAACATGGAAACATGAAGAAACACACTTTGTTGTCCGGGGATATCTTCTCCTGGGACCACCAGGCCCCGCAAAGTGGAGACAGCTCTGCATTTAACACGAGGGACCCCCAGGTTCCCCAGCATGGGGCTGAGGGCTGATGTGGGGACTCAGGACAGACCGCACCCCTGAACTGTGAGTCCCCCGACAGTGCGGGCGGTGGTTTCACTGAGGCGGGGAGGCTGGATGGTGACTGTATGGGCAGCTGGCAAACCTGGATTGCTGGCTACCTGGTACCGGGGAAAGGTAAGGAGCCCCACATCTGAGCTGCCCTGTCCTGCTCTGTCTGGGGGACCCTGGGCGGGGTCTGACCACTGTGGTGGCAAGAGACACGGAACGGGGTGGGCTTCCACTGAAAAGGGGGCATAGATGAGTGGGCATGTGGGTGGCAACTGCCAGAAACCCCCAGAGGAGCAGCAGAAAGGCTCAGGAGAGGGTAGAGCTCTTTCTGGTCCTCTCTGGGTCAAAAAGATCCTTTTGAGAGGATTAAAAGAACCAGCAATCCCTCCCAGTGCCCCGCCGGGGTAGCTGTTGCCGGGGCTCATCCTGCAGACACTCGTCTCATTTCTGGGGAGGACCAACGCCTTGACACAGGAAGACAGGCCTCTGTTTAGAAACTAAGGCCGGCCTTCAAGGACGGTGACCAGGGGAGGCGCAGTGCAGCCCGGACGGGCTCACCCACTGACATTGACCTACAAACACGGGCAGCCCGCAGCCTGACCGGATGCTGGCAGAGAGGCGCTGATGGCAGCGTGGCCGCCCCACCCCTGCTGACACATGTGACAGCAGTGAGCGACTCCTGAGTTCCAGGCCCTGTTCTGGATGGTAAAATCCAGCCTGACCTACCTGTCACCCCACCTGGAACTCCCAGGGACCTCACTCGCACCCTCAGTCTTCACACCCTCACGCCACAGCCCTTCTCAAACTGTGCTGGGTACGTGGGTGTGGGGTGAGGAGGAAACGACCCAGAGGCAACTGGAACGGGGACAGGAGTTCACTTTAAGCTTCGCCTGTGTTCCTTGTGCTTCGGAACGTCTGCTAGCCCTGAAGCATGGAGCACATCATGTGCACGGCCTGCAGGTGGCGGCAGGTGGCCTGTCCGCGGTCCTCACCAGCTCCGTCCCAGGCGCTGGCTCCTGGCTGAGCAGGACACCTTACGACCTGGTCACACGCCAGACTTGGACTTTCCTTTTTCAAAGAGAGACTCTGAGGGAAGCCGGGGGTGTAGCCCGAAGACTGCATTGGCAGCCAGGCCTCTGCCTGGGCCGCCCCCCCCCACTTCCTGGTGTCCTGGTGCTCAGAGCACAGCTGTGCTCACAGGGGAAACGCCTTGCCTCCCAGGGGCACAGCATGACCTCCAAGGTCATGGCCTCAGGTCAGACACAGGCCCCTTCCAGAGTTTACTGCTGGGCCCTGCACCCCCAGCAAGGGGCCTGAGGGGACACTGCTTTCCACTGCGTGTTTTCTGAGGGCACTACTCCAACAAAGCGCTAGAGCCCAGTTCCCCCAAAATTTGTGTTCCAAAGAGTGTCCAGGGCCAGCATGCCTTTCCCCAGTCGTGCAGGCTCCTGGCCTCCTGTCACCAGAGGTGGCACGTGCCTGCAGAGCAGTTTAATCGGTCGGGCTGGTACAGCCGGGCTCGTGGTCGTGGGTGAAGAGGGGGCTGCGATGAATACTTACAGTTACTAAAGAGAATTTTCCTAAATTACCCACAAATAGGAGTATATATATATATATGTATATTTATATTTATATGTACACAGTACGTAATAGATGCTCTGTCGTGGGGAAGCACAAACCTACAGTCTCCTAGCACCTCTTCTCTGTCCCGTCACAGGGTCCTGAGAGCCCAGCCACACTGGCCCGTGTCCTGGGCCCATGGCCAGAGAAGCCAGCAGGTGTGGACGCCCTGCAGGCACTGACACTGTTTATCAAAGCCCCTGGCTGAGCCTTCACACACCCCTTCTTCCAGGGCCTGGCCTCCCTGAGACACCACAGCCATGCTCCTCTCTCTCCCGAAGCGCCAGGCGGAGGGCTCGGGCCACCTCCAAAGGTGAGCTCTGCCCTGGCCCCATCCACGTCGGGGCAGAGCATCCTGGCCCAGGGGGCCCGCTGGTGCCGGTTCAGGAGAGGGCACTCTTGGTGTCCTGGACCAAACAGGTGGAGGGAGGTGGGGAGGAAGAAAGGCTGCCTTAAGCAATGTTTTCCCACTGGAGCCGGATCGGAGGAGTGCAGCCGGGTGGGGTCTCTGCCCAGACATGGTCTCGCCCTCCACGGGCTGGTCAGGGATTCCTGTAGGGCACCGCCACGGTGATTTCCCGGGGCAACGTGGAGGCCCGTGGAGCCGCCTTCAGCTTCTACTGTGGAGGGAAGGAACTCTCCCCTCCCCCGGGATAGCCGGCCATCCCCAAGCAGGGCAGCCCCACCAGCGTTATTTGTAGGGCCGCAGGAACCGGGACACCTTGGAGCGCAGCAGTTTGATGAAGGACCGTGGGAACATCTCCTTGGACTCCTGGGCTGTGTACTTGAAGTAGTTCTGGGGATGTGCCAGCACGTCGAAGAGGGCCTTGATCAGCTTCTTGTCCTGCAAGACACGGGGGGCTGGGTGTGCGGGGCCCGGGGCTAGGCTGGTGGGCCCTGGCCTCTTAAGTGGCTGGGAGCTCTGAAGGGGCCTGGGGGTGCCTGCAAGGATGAGGGAAGGGGGAAGAGGCTGGGCTGGCTGGTGGGTTTCAGGATCCCACAGACTCTTCGCCATAAACAGGTTTTTCTGGTTGTAATAGCCGAATTGTTTTTTTCTATAGTCTGTTGGTTTTAACTCTTGAATTTCCAATCACATTTTATTTTACAAAGATTTGCTGCAAAACCAAAACAAGACCACCCACCATGTTGAAAACTGGAGAACACGGAGCTGAGAGCAAGACTTTGTAGGCCAAAGGGCCAGATTGGAAATCGTAGCTCCTCCATCTATTCCCTACTCTGTAACCTCGGGAAAATAGCTCTGCTGCTCTGAATTTCAATTATTCGTCTATATGATGGGGTAATGATCTCTCCTCTTAGGACTGTGAGGAATAGGAAGTGCAGTAACGAGAGCCAAGCGCCTGGCCCACGTGGTGCTCAGCACAGGCGAGCAGCGAGCTCGGGTGTGCCGCCCAGCTGTCCTCACCCAGCGGCCCACGCTCAGCGCGGTCACTTACCAGCTGGGCTCCCTCTCCGAGCCCAGGGTCTTCAGTCCCAAAAGTGGAGCGGTGCCACCCTGGAGGGGAACCTCTGGGGCAGGCGTGGGGCTGGCTGTGGTCCCCCTGAGGCCCCCAGGCCTGGCAGGGATGTGCTCAGTAAACGGCGGCCACCGCACCACGCGCTCCCTGCCCCACGCGCTCCTCGTCTCGCGGAGACTTGGGCCGCTGGCGTCTTTGGTCTGACTTGGGCTGGCGCGCACGCTCTCTCCCTCTCATGCGTGCACACATGCACCCCTGCCCTTGGGAAACGCTGGTGTTCTTCACACCTGCTGGGCGCAGTGCCAGGCGCCGGGGACAGCCTGCTGAGCGGGTACCCCTGCGGCTCCTTCCCCACGAGGGGGCGGGGACCAGCGGCTCACAGGACAGACCTACACCACACGGCTGACTGCCAAGGAGGGCCATGTGGGACCCTCCGAGTGTGACCTGGCTCGGGAGGTTGGGCAGGCTGCCCAGAGGGGGGGGACGCCTGCGCCGAGAGCAGCAGGACGGGTGGACGTTCACTGAGGAATGAACAGGGAAGAATGTTCTGGAGGCCTTGGCGAGTGGGTGTAGAGGTGGAGGCCTGACTGCCGCTGCAGAGACCAGAATGGGCCTCTCTGCCTGAGGCTTTGTCCTAAGAGACGGGAACACTTCTAGTTTGGAAAAGCTACTCCCGGCCGCAGGGTGCAGCTGAGGGCAGAGGACGGGCCAGGGGGAGAGAGTCAGGTATGGTCTACGGGACAGAGTCGGAGTGGCCACGGTGACCCTCTGGTTCCCACTAAACAGACAGGAGCCTAAGGAGGGAGATGAGAGGCTTGGAGCTCTGAGACCCCCAGGTCTGGTCCGGGTGCAGCAGCGCAGGCTTACAAACTGCCTACTGTGTGCAGGAGTGCACCAGGCCTGGGGCTGGAAGACTCCGTGAGCCACGCCTGTTTCCCAGATGTGGAGGCGGGGCTCAGAGAGTTGCCAGTGGCCACCCAGCTGAGAAGGGACAGCTGGCGTCGAGTCAGTCTGGAGGACTGGCCCAGCCCAGCTCTTGCCCTCTGGGCCACCCTCGGCTCCCAAGCTGAGGGTGCTTTCTGCCCAGGGGCTGAGCTGGGGCCAGAAGCCGAGAGCCCAAGCAGATCCCTGGGTCTGGCTTCTCATGGTGACAACCCAGGCCCTGACCTGGCCAGTGCCCGCCAGGTTGACGGCCACAGCCCTCGATGTCTCAGTGGCTCTGTTTCTCAGGACATGAGTAGGATGAGGAAGGAGTCAGTCCCAAAGGTGGCGGTGGAGTCTCCTGATTTTGAGATACCGCCGTGTCAGACTGTCCTCACTTCACAGCCGGTCACCAGGTCCTGGGCTCGACCTGGTCTGTCTGGTCCAGCCCTTGCCCCCGGGCCCCTGCCCCCATCACCTTCGTTTCTTCTGGTACCACTCCCCTCCCCTCACTCCCGTGCGGGGCTGGGGTTGGGGTAGGGGCTGCGGTGGCCCAGGGGGCCTCTGTCCCAGGATTATGTGGACCCTTCCCATAGAGAAGCTCACTCACTTTCAGAATTTCCTGGTGATTCTCTGAGGCGTAGAGCCGTCCATCGCGAACGATATCTTCTATTAATTGCTGGTAGTCCTCTGTGAAACCCACCAGCAGGGAAGGGAGGAAGGGGAGGGCAGAGGCTGAGGCGAAGACCCTGCCTGCCTCCTGCTGACTGAAGCCTCTGCCCTCCCCTAAGGGCTTCAGGCTGAGCCCGAGGCCACTCTGCCTCTGTGTCTTTGTCTCCTCCACCCAAATTGGTCTCCTCTAGGTTTGCTTAGCTAGAAAACTCCTATCCAACCCTCAAAACCCTGCTTGGGCAGCATCCCACATTGAGGTTGGTAAACACCACTAATTGCTCCTCATCTGCACTACCCTGTACCCCTTAAGGGCCTGCCTGTGCCCCACCTTCCCCCAAGGCTGGAGCTCCCTGAGGCCAGGGATGTGTGATTTGTCTCTATGTCCCCAGGACCAGCCTGGGCACACAGTGTGACTGCACTTACCGTCATAGGTGACATAGGGTACTTGGAACCCTTTGCCGCTGTTGCCTTCGTTGGATTTGAACTGGATCCAGAGCTTCCGGGAGCGGGAGGTGAAGGCAATGGGCCTCTCGTAAGTCTGGCAGGTCTCATAGGTGGTGATGGATGTGGGTGAGGCTGTGGGCAGAGGCACGTCACTGCTGAGCTGCCCCAGATCCACAGCATCTCACCCGGTCCTATCCCCCTGCGTCAGATCTCTTCCCTCCCCACCTACTCAGCCATCTAGCACCCACAGTGTCCAGTCCCCCAAACTCTCCAGCTCGCCAGTCCCTGTACATGTTCCTTTTGCCTCAAACGCCCTTCCCCACCCTCAACCCCAGTTCCTACTTGTCCCTCTTAAGACCATTTCCATGCCCCCTCCTCCAGGAAGCCTCTCTGACTGCTCTGCCCCCCCCCCCCGTTTCCTCTCTGCTCTGGTGAGTACTTTATTACAGTGCCTCTCTATAGCGCTGGTGCTGTCACCCTGCCAACTGCTCCTCAAGCTCAGGGCTCACGCCTGCCCCCGCACAGAGCCGGGCCTGCGGTGGAGGGTCCGTCCCATCTCCCGTGAGAGGGTGAACCTCTATGTGAGGGGATGAACAAGGGTGAGCCTGCTGACCCCTGGGGCGCTGGCTGAAAGGTGCCTCACCTCCTCACTGCTCCCTGGGGGGGAGAGTCTCTCAAGGTGGGAGAGGCTGGCTGCCCTGGAGCTCAGCCTTGTGGGCAGGCAGACAGTGGAGAGGAAGATGCTGGGGACTAGGGAGGCTGGTGGTGGGAATGGGTGGGCGGGGGATGGTCATGGGCTGGGCGCTGACTGGCTGCAGGGCACTGGGCAGGTGCCTGGCCCGTCCTGGTCTCAGGTCTCCCACTCACACACTGGGGCTTCCCCGCTCAACAGCCACACCGAGGGGGTCACACGCACACGTGGTAAGAATGCAGCACAGAGCGGACAGGCCCTCCCCACTCATTCTCCTGCTCCCCCAGCCATTCTCTGTGTAGCAGAGATATTCCAGGCCCCGGTGGGTGTTTTTCTGTCTGCTTGTGTCCCCTCCTTCCCTAGCGTTCTGACTTGCAGCTCAGCGCTGTGGGCACTGCGGCCCCACTACAGCAGCGAAGCCCCAGTCGAGGCACGTGCCGTAAGGGATTCTACCCGGTCCCTGCGGGCACTCAGGGGCTCCCTGCCTTTTTCCCTGCCATGGCCACCTGAGCACGACCTTGTGCTCACCCACTGAGGGGCTGGGCCGCTGCTCCCAGCCTGAAGTCTCACCCCGAACCAGGGATGGGGGTGATGAGCCGGAAGGCTGCGGCTCTCGGAGGGAAGGGAACAGATCCTGTGTGTGCAGGCTGGCCCTTCACCCTCCCATCCCCTTCCCAAGCACAGAGGGAGGAGAAGGCCCTGCAGAGTAGGAGGGGCTCCTGGTGGCTCACTCTGGATGGTGTGGCAGGATGTGGCGAAACAACTGGGATGAGAGGCTGGTCTGTGGTCAGTGTCGAGACCGGGTCTGACCAGGCCCTGGTTCCCACACTGAGGACACACCGTGAGCTCCCAGACCTTTCCATTCGGTCTGCACAGCCCAGCTCCGGGAGTCAGAGGCGAGTGCCCGCGGAGCGGGGCCGAGGGCTGCGGCTGTCTGTGGCCCTGCTGCTGCACTCGCCCGGCACGTACCACTCTTCCTCATGACCAGGACGTCGCCGCACTCATCCTCGATGGGCAGGAAGATCTCGGGGACCACGATGAGAATCCTGCGCTTGGGGGGTGGCGAGATGTGCCACACACACTCGGCGTTGGCCGGGTAGTCTCCAGGGTAGTTGGGGGACTCGATGTAGCCCGTGTAGTCGCCAAGCTCGCCGCCACAGTGCTGGTCTGTGGGCACCGTGGCCGGGGCCCTGGTCAGGCTCGCAGGACGGGAGCCCTGGCTGGCTGGGCTTTCAACAGCCTTGGAGGCCCAGGGCAGGGCTGGCGGGTGCTTGGCCCCTTCCGTGGCCTGTCTCCACCCGGCCCTCCCCACCGGCCAGCCAGGCCTTGGGCTCGTCCTCCCTGGGGGGCCCCGCTGAGGGGCAGGTCCCTGTTCCCACATTGGTTCTCTGAGACCCAGCCCGAGCGTCTCCTTCTTCCTGGTCACCCTTGGCTGCCTCACCTGCATCTCTGTGGCTGAGCCCTGTCCTGGCCTCCTGCTGGGAGCCACTCACCGCTCCCCGCCAGCCCCTGCTCTCCTCCTGTGTCTCAGCCAAGGCCAGTGTGCCAACTTCCCTTTTCTCTCCGCTCACTCATCTGTCCATTCCTTTGCTCAACATCTGCTGAGGGACCCCAGGTGCCAGG